TAGGTTTGCATTAAGCAAGTATGTGAACCAGCTAGCGTCCTGAAATACGACTGCGATCCTCTTAAAAAATGCTCTGGGCATGGAGTAAGTACCACCGATGTTAGCCTTCCAGTGTTCTTGTTCCCACTTTCAAGGGTGGAGAGTTTTCTTTTCAGGATGATGGGAGTTGTAGTCCTTCCTATCCAGGGGGACCCGCTTGGATAAAGTAGCCTTCACTGGGGGTTTCCCACCTCAGCTGCTGCTTATGAGGACGAGACCTCAGAAACTAGATGTTGGATTTATTTTATTTCCCTTTGTTTTTGGCAGACTGGAAGTTGAGAGATCTCTCAGCCTGCTGTTCCTAAGCTGGAACACGAGGAGTGAACGTGGAATAAAAGTTTGTTGTCCTTCTCACTGTTCTTTTTTTTAACTATCAGGTGTGCAACAACAAGAGAAACTGCCACTGTAACCCAGGATGGTCTCCTCCAAATTGCAAAAATAAAGGCAGTCCCCTGGGGGGAAGCGTGGACAGCGGTCTTCGCAGCCTGGAATCCGGTTAGTAAGCGAACGCACGTTCAGTAAAAGCAGGACCTGTTCGCATGTAACAGCTTGCCAGATGGGGGCAGGCGTGTCCTTTGGAAGTGTGGAAGCAAGTGAAGTAAGGCATGGCTCCAAATGGCTCTTCGCCCCCTAAAAAGCCTTTTTGCTTCTTTCAAATTGTTCTCAGTGGAGCCCTCACCTGTTTCTCCTTCCCCCTGTTGCCTCCTGTACCTTCGATCCCGCTGTGCTTGCCAGGAGCAGCTGTCCTGGAGGGAGCTGAGCTTGCTGTGGCTCCCGCATCCGGGCCCCGAGGGAAGAGCCTAGTCTGAGCATTTGTGTCAAAAGTGGCCTTCCACCGGCCGTGCAGAACATGATGTACATGGAGGGAAGGGATTCCTGCTCCGAAACCAGGGCGTGAGGATAGGAGCCTTTCCCTTACAGCTTCACTGTACCATTTTCTTAAAAGTTGGGACACACGGTTGTGAATGCGTTGTCCCAGCCTTTCAGGTTGGCCCTCCAGCTATAGCAGAAAGAGACAGAGGTAACAAGGGCTCTCAGAAGCCGGACCCCACCATGATTTAGGCATGATGTTTTTGCAAAAAGCATATATTTTTTTGTTCCTTTGTGAGCCCGTTTGAGTTCAAGAGATATTGCAAAGCAAGGGATTCCAGCTTCTGCCCTAAGCACAACCACGGAGGTGTGGGGTTTTTTGGGGGGAGAGGTATCTTCCATTGGGAACGTTTGCCAACATGGTGTGCAGACCCATCCTTGCTTCAGCGTTGTCAAATCTGTTTCTGTCTAGACCTTGCAGAAAGAGCCGCAGAAGACAGCATGAGGACTTGGGTGCTGCTAAGCATTTTTCTTTTCCTGCCCGTTCTTATCGCATCGGCCATCCTCGTGTTCAAGTGGAAGCGAATCAACAAGTACTGCACAGAAGACGAGGGGCTGCAGGGTGATTCTGTGTATGTAGTTTGGCCCGTGATCCACCATGGTGTTTCCTGGGCAACTCTGAAATTTCCCCAAAAGGCTAATAATTTGGATAAGAGGGATCTGCAACAAAAGGTTGCAGCGCAAAGAGTTCCTATAGACTATCCAAGTCTCCATGATCTTCCATGCCTTTCCCCAAGCCCCAACATACCAACCTTTCCGCCCACCTTCTGTGCTCAGTCATTGGGCCATTTGAAGAGGTTTTCTGTCCTAGTTTTAAAAAAAGACTACCTGAGAGCAGAAATCATCTAAGGAAATCCTTGGTAGAATTTCAAAGAAATTCTCTGATCGGCACACACACACACCCGCAAAGCTAGAATGCTTTTTATGTCAGCACGGTGTCCATCACCAGTTCTATGATTTTTCCTTACAGTCCCAAGAGCTGCTAACAAGGTAAAAAAAAATAGCAACTGAGGGAGCAGACTCGCACACCGAGAAGAACAGGGCACCTCTGAGCACATGCAAAACTCAGCAATTTGTTGTCAGTACCAGCAAGCGACCTCAGAGTTCATGAGGTCACCCTTAGTTCTTCCTTACTCTCTTCGCCAAACCGTCTTTCTTTCAGCCACGTGATTCAGAACAAAGGACTCATTTTCATTTATTGTCACTACTGTCAAGCATCAGAGAGTTGAGCCTTAGTGGCTTCTTACAAATCCTGCAGAGATTTTCCGGTAGATCCTGGTGTCCCTTCTGCCTAGCTCTGGAAAGTTTATGGAGTGATCAATGTTCTAGGTGCCACTGCCCAAGGCTGTTCTGTTGTATAAACCTGTGTCTTTAAGTTGTTTAATTCTCATTGTATTCTAGATCCGAAGACTTCAGTATGTCAGACAAAACAAGGTAAGGGTCCAGCAACTGAAAGCCCACTCATGTATTTTCTGTAACAAGAATTTGCAAAGTATATTGATGCATAAGAAACACGCTTATAAAATGTACAGAGATGCACCCCCCCGGCCCCATCTTGAACCATAGACCATCCCCGTTCTTCCCATGGCAGGTCGCAGACGTTAGAAAAGAAGTGAAGGATCCTTTTCTTTTCCTCTTCCTTCTAAAATAAGGAAATAGTAAATCCCTGTCAGGACTGAAGAAGGGGTTATCGACCAGTTAAATATAACCTCAGAATAATTGTGAGCAAAACGATTGTATATTCTGGGGAAGACACACATCTTGGCTGGCAGAAAGGTCCTTATATTCTCAGTGAAAAGAGCAAACGCAGGCTTGGAAAATGGCACAATGTCTGTTGTGCTTCCCCAGAGTCCCCACCTTCCTCACCCCTATGGGCTAGCTAGCTTTTTATAGCTCTCTCTCTTCAGCAGCCCCTGTGGATAATATTCTTCTTCCCATTTTGCTGGCAGAGCTATCCCTCCCTGGTTGCAATTTGGGAAGACTCAGTGACCCTTCTCAGTCTCCTTCCCTCCCCTTCCTCTCCCTTCTCCCTTTTTCTCCCACTCGCAGCTGACTCACCAGCCCCATCTAAGAACGCTAAGAGGGCTGTTCTCCCACACTGTCTGAAACCTGAGCCATGGAAGCTGGGAAGGGAAGCTCTGCAGGTTTTGAACTCATGGTGCATAGATATACAGGGTTGCCAACCAGTCACTGTAGCTGGGCTCCTGTGCCTCGGACTCTCTATACCGCAGAAGAGGTGCACTGTCCATTATGGCTGTGGTACCCAACCTTGGGCCTCGGACTCTCTATACCGCAGAAGAGGTGCGCTGTCCATTACAGCATCCGCCCCATATGGGGAGCGGCTTCATTTCCTGCCTGACTGTCTGACATAAAGCTTGGCATGGAATGCAGTGTCCATCAGGATTTGATTTCTGGGAGTTGAAGTCCAAGAACATCTGGAAGCCCAAGGTTGGGGACCACTGAATTACAGCATCCGCCCCACATGGGGAGCGGCTTCATTTCCTGCCTGCCTGTCTGACATAAAGCTTGGCATGGAACGCAGTGTCCACGTATCCCAGCCCCTCAGCCAGTAGCTCACCAGGAATTTTGAAAAAGGAATAAATAAATGTCCAGAAATCTAATGAAATGGCAGCTGGCAGGAAGCAGCATCTGAATCCAGCATTAGCTGCAGAACCTTTCTAAATAAGGAGGAATTTAGTCGGTCTTCTGAATGTAAGGAGGGAACGGCTGTTCCAACTCCTGGGGTAATGAGTTCCAAAGAAGAGGTTTCTAGGAAAGTAGAATACAGTGGTGCCTCGCTAGACAGTTACCCCGCATGACAGTTTTTTTGCTAGACAATGACATTTTGCGATCGCCATAGTGATTCGCAAAATAGTGATTCCTATGGGGGAATTTAGCTCGACAATGTTTGGTCCCTGCTTCACAAACCGACTTCCGCTAGACGACAATTTCGACAGCTCCCTCCGCGCTCACAAAACAGGTGTTTTTAGGACCTAAGCTTTGCAAGACAGAGATTTAAACAGCTGATCGGTGGTTCGCAAAGCAGCTTTCCTATGGCCGATCTTCGCTAGACAACGACGATTCTTCCCCATTGGAACGCTTTAAACAGGTTTCAATGCATTCCAATGGGGAAATGCTTTTCGCTAGATGATGATTTTGCTAAACAGCAATTTCAGTGGAATGGATTATCATTGTCTAGCGAGGCACCACTGTACTTCCTATGGTATGTTGAAAATAAAACAGTGACCACTCTGGGTAGGAAAACTCTTCCACAACACCGGGGGGGGGGGCCTTACAAGCCAAGCCTTGAACCTCTGCATCTTCCCTGATGAAGACAAGCCAGAGATCCCGAGCAAGCAAAGGAACCTTACAGGGAAGGCCCCTCTTCCTGACCATCTCCTGTTCTCTTCCTCTGATCACAAGAGTCCTCTCCTTTCACTCCTCAGTTATCACCAGGCTAAGGAAATGCATTTCCCCTTTCATTTAAGAGAGAGAGGTGACAAAATATTCAGTCAACCCCTTCTTGCCACCTGCCTTCTCTAATATGTTTTGCTTTGCTTTTGTGTCCTCCTCTCCTTTTTCCGTCCCTTTCCCCACCATGTCCACAGTATCCCCACCCGCGCAGAAAAGAGGTAACTGGGCTGCAATCCTGCTGTGCAGGGAAGAACGGAGAGGACAAAATCGCAGCGGCACGCTTGTGTTCCCCGGCGTTTCTCCTCGTTGCCTAATAAATGAGGACCTGTCTATACACAGAGCACTGATGATGATTGTGGAATGTTTCCTCCCGGGTGTTGGGAACTGGCAGCCCTGGGGGAATCTGCAAAAGCCTATGCAAATGTTTCCAGCCAGGGCTTTCTAGGTTCAGACGACTCAGAACTGGTTTCCCCGTCTTTTCTTCTGGGACGGTGCAGCTTGCCCAAGGCGATACAGGCTGGCTCTTGTCCCGGGAGGCCCAGTGGGGAATTGAACTCCCGACCTTTCGCTCCACAGTCGGATATCTCATGCGCTGAGCGATCCATCCAGCTTGCTTCCCTTTAAGCAAGGCAAAAACAATAAGATCCATGTGCTCTGCATACATTATGTCTTATCTCCCCGGGCAAGGGTGGATGCTAATGACTGCCCTTATTCTAAGGGGTAGAAAAGCAACCATCCCACTCACTTCCCCAGCTTTTTGTCATAGTGTGGATAAAACTCTTGCTCCCCATAGACACCTTTCCGTTCTTCCAAACTTCTGGAGTCTGTGTATTCACGAAGGCTTTCACGGCCGGGATCTGATGGTTGTTGTGGACTTTTCAGGCTCTCTGGCTGTGTTCTGAAGGTTGTTCTTCCTAACATTTCGCCAGTCACTCTGTGCTCTGGTGTACTTTGCTTGGGAGTGGAGTATTTATGGCTGTGAGATCAGCTTTTGTCCTTTTCAGGAGAATGGGTGATTATGGTGATCAGGGTGTTTTTTGTTGTGGGTGTATTGTTGTGATAAGGGGGGAGGGAGAAGATCTGTCATTGTGATTGATGGGTGTTGTTGGCTAGTGTTTTGTGTGCAGTGATCACCGGTCCTTGTGGCTATAAATACTCAACTCCCAAACAAACTGCACCAGAGCACAGAGTGCTACTCCTGTCCTCTGAAGATGCTTGCCACAGAGACTGGTGAAATGTTAGGAAGAACAACCTTCAGAACACGGACAAAGAGCCCGAAAAACCCACAACAACCATTCTGGACTCTGCTTTAAGTTGCGCCCGGAGGGGAAGGCAACAGACATTGACCAATTCAGTGAGGAAGCAACAAGAATCCATTCAAGAAAGATCCACGGAGAACATCTTTGCCCAAGAACCCCTCAAAGTCTAGTGTCTGCATTGACAGTGGGCTTCTTGCATGGGGCGTTCTAGAACTGAGCCCTCAAAGCTGCCTTTTCTAGCTGCGGGGGTTGAAAACGGCTTGGCAAGATGGTTTGGTCATCATTGCTGGAGACCAAACAGGGCCAGACGTAGAGATTTTGAGAGTTTTTTTGGGATGGTCTCTCCTAGAATCTCCCAGACTCACCACCACCACCCTGACCAAGCTGGGCCGTCTGAAGCAAGAGAATCCTGGTCCATCTCAGAAGGTTACTTCTTCCTCTTCCTGGTTCCGTTTTCCTTTTGTTGACACGCAATAGAGTGACCTGAGGGGTTGGCTTGGCTTGCACCCCCAGCAGCTGGGGACCAGGAGAAACATTCGGAGAGCCGAAGCTTCCCTAAACTGTGATCCAATAATATTAAAAAGGGCCATTCCTGAATCACCTCCTCTAGCTTCATCTCTCATGGTGTGCAAACAGATGCTAACAGCATACTCACACAGGAAGGATGAGAGGACCAATAACTGGGCCGTGCTTCTGTTTTATGTTTCAAGAGCAGCTGGCAAATAGTAGTCCATTTCGGGTCAAAATGTGCCTAGTTTAATATGTTTTTAATTTTATCTCTATTTCATATATATATCCATAACTTCAAATGGTGCAATGCGCTGGTATGAAGAAAGAAAGATGGCATATATATACGTGTATATATATGGCTAGTGGATGCCTTTTAATCTTTTTACACACACACAAGGTATGGACACATTTGTTTTACACGTCCAAGAGTGATTTACAAGCCAAGATTTAAGCAAAAGGATTTGGCTTCTTGTCTTCTTCCCTTGCGCTTCTGAAAACACGCCGTTCTCCGTGTGTATTTGTTTACAAATGGTTTTAAACCGGTTAGATCTGCTAAAGATTTCAAAGTGTTGGGGAAAAACACGTGGACTTTAAAGTCCTTGAAGTTTCAGCTTTTTCTGGGTCTCCAGAAGGCAGACAGAACTCCTTATGGACGCGGAGGCTTCTACCCGGCACGCAGCGCCCGGCGGTTTACAGATTCCCTTCCGCCCCGAAAGGCTGTCTTACATTTTTAGTGATGGGGATGAAGGATGTTGGCGCATGGAGGGTCCCTGCGAATTGTTGGAAAGGGAGCTGATCCAGCAGAAAGAAAGCCTGGGGGAAAAAATGATTTGATCTGAAATGATTTGATCTGACCTGTTTCCTTCCCGTGTGATCCAGTACTTTCTGGGTGATAAGGATCTCCTCCCGGCCAGGCTCGGATCGCCGCAGTTGGTGGCTACGAGGACGCGCATCTCGGCCGGCGACG